ACTACTTTAAAGACACATATTAAAAAAAATCAATAAAATTTTATTTTATAATTTAAATTGATCTAAATTATAAAATAAAAGTTATCTTATAAAAAAAAGACCCATAATATAAGAAAACCCAATTCCTATAAAATAGTTAATATTTTACCATCCAAATATTAAAAACCCTTTTTGAAAAGTCAATAGAAAATGAAAAGAAATGTTCGAAGAGTTATCTTCATGCCCCCATGTTGATATCAATATCATTTCCCGCTCATGGTGATTATTATACTGAAAAATCAACACTGTACCCTATGCCTGAGTTGGCCGCCACCCATCAATGCTTTTGTCAATTGTTATTTACGTACCTTAATTAAGATAAACTCAAAATTCAAATTTAAGAAAAAAAAATTTAGGCAGACAATTGTGGAGTACTAAAATCAAGTTGCCTGACATAACATAATTTTGATTAATTCTCTTTCATTTATCAAATACTCATAAATTAATATGTATTAACTCATTCAAAATGTTAGAAGAACTATTTTGCTTACTTTAGTTTGTGATATTTGACCCAAGTGGAATTCATTAAAAAGAATATAAATATCTTGATATATGAAAATGAAAGAGCAAAATCAAATCAAGCTAACAAAGATGAAGATACCTCAGCCCCAGAAGTGAAAGAAAGAAAGTGTCAACAACCACTGACAAATTTGTGTTTGTCCTTGTTGTCCCAAGACCCTGAATTGCCCTTGTTCATTGGGATTCAACTACTGTTGAAGATTCAAAGTTCTGAAATTTCTGCTTCATTCAAACCTAGGGAAAGCAAAATAATTAAGGGGCAGATATGTAACTTGGCTTGGAAAAGCAGCCAGATTCTAAAATATTTTTCTTGCTAAAACGTTCTGTGCCTACACATCTTTTATGAGAAAACTGCTTTTTTGCTTTTCTTTTCATAAAGCAAAAGATGGAACAAACCAAAATAAACAGACTGACCTTGGATGCTGTTTGTTGTTGTGCAACTTTGCTTTCAGATTCACTAAAGTGAACCTCTCTTTCTCGGTATCAAATTAAGCCCCATTTCACTCTATTACTTAGTAGTCTCTTCAATAGCTTAAGGATTGAGCTCAGCAACACAGCTTCAGCTTTACAATGGCTTCTGCTGATATCAAGTTTCTCTTCCTTTCTTCTCTCCTTCTGTTTTTCCACACAGTTTCTTCACACAATCTGTTGCTCAGAAGACAAGCTTCAATCCTGGTTTCTCTCAAACAGGATTTTGTATCCCCCACACCTTCACTTAATAGCTGGAATGTGTCAAACTACTTGACCCTTTGTTCTTGGATTGGTATTCGATGTGATCCCATGAATAGATCCGTAGTTTCACTTGATATATCCAATTCCAACATTTCAGGTTCTGTGTCATCAGTGCTCACTCAACTACACAGCCTTGTTAATCTTTCAGTGGCTGGAAACAGCTTGGATGGTGAGTTTCCTCAAGAGGTTCACAGGTTAAGTATGCTTCAATTCCTCAACATATCCAACAACATGTTCAGTGGAGAGATCAAGTGGGATTTCTCTCAGATGAAAGAGCTCCAGGTGCTTGATGCTTATAACAACAACTTCAATGGCTCGCTCCCATTAGGCCTCACACAACTCCACCAACTCAGGCACTTGAATTTTGGCGGGAATTTCTTTTCAGGGGAAATTCCTCCTAGCTATGGAGATTTTGAGCAGCTAAAATATATGTCTCTAGCTGGGAATGACTTAGGTGGTTCCATACCTACCGAGCTTGGTAATCTGATGAATTTGGAGCAACTCTTCTTGGGTTACTACAATGACTTTGATGGAGTCCCTCCTGAGTTCGGTAAGCTGATCAATCTTGTTCATCTGGACCTTGCAAACTGCAGCTTGAAGGGTCCAATTCCTCCAGAGTTGGGCAATTTGAAAAAACTGGATACTCTCTTCCTTCAAACGAATGAGCTCACTGGTTCCATTCCACCCCAGCTAGGCAACATGAGCAGCTTGAAAACGCTTGATCTTTCCAACAATATGCTAACAGGAGATATCCCCCTCGAGCTCTCAGGGCTTCATGAGCTAGTCCTCTTGAATTTATTTGTAAACAGGTTTCATGGAGAGATTCCAGAGTTTATTGCAGAGCTTCCCAAGTTGGAAGTCCTGAAGCTGTGGCAAAATAACTTCACAGGGTTCATTCCTAGGAAGCTTGGAGAAAACGGCAGATTAATTGAGCTTGATCTTTCAACTAATAAGCTTACGGGCTTGGTCCCCAAGTCTCTTTGCTCGGGAGGAGGGCTGCAAATTCTAATCCTGTTCAACAATTTCCTGTTTGGTCCTCTGCCTGAGGACCTTGGAAAATGTCAAACACTTTCCAGAGTTCGAATGGGGCAGAACTATTTAACTGGATCATTACCAGAAGGGTTTCTGTACTTGCCAGAGCTCACACTGATGGAACTACAGAATAACTATCTTAGTGGCCGAATCCCTGAGGACACAAGTAAGTTACCCTCTAAACTTGGTCAACTAAATCTGTCCAACAATCGGTTATCTGGGTCACTTCCAGCTTCGATTTGCAATTTCTCTAGCTTGCAAATTCTTCTGCTAAGTTCAAACAGATTCTCAGGGAAAATTCCATTAGAATTTGGTCGGTTGAGAAATGTCCTGAAGTTGGACATGAGTCGAAACAACTTGTCAGGTACCATCCCTGCTGGGATAGGCAACTGTCTCTTGCTAACTTACCTGGATTTGAGCCAGAACCAACTCACTGGTCCAATCCCAATACAGATTGCTCAAATTCACATATTGAATTACCTCAATGTTTCTTGGAACCATTTGAACCAAAGTCTTCCCAAGGAAATTGGTTCCATAAAAAGCCTAACTTCTGCTGATTTTTCTCACAATAACTTCTCTGGTTCCATTCCTGAATTTGGACAGTATCTGTTCTTTAATTCAACCTCCTTTATCGGCAACCCTCAGCTCTGTGGATCATATCTGAGTCCATGCAACTATTCATCAACCGATTCATTAGAATTACATCACCGAAGTGGTAGCAGGTCCCAAGTCCCAGCAAAATTTAAGCTCCTCTTTGTATTGGGACTTCTGTTTTGTTCCTTGGCATTTGCTGTTTTGGCAATCATAAAGACCCGCAAGGGACGCAGACATTCACATTCCTGGAAGCTCACTGCATTTCAAAAACTGGAATTCGGAAGTGAAGACATTTTGGAATGTGTCATGGAAAACAATGTAATAGGGAGAGGCGGAGCTGGTGTCGTCTTCAGAGGAGAAATGCCTAATGGAGAACAAGTAGCAGTGAAAAAATTGTTAGGCATAAGCAAAGGCTCTTCTCACGATAATGGTCTCTCTGCAGAAATACAGACTCTAGGGAGTATCAGGCACAGGAATATTGTCCGACTGCTTGCATTTTGTTCAAATAAGGAGACCAATTTGCTTGTGTATGAGTACATGCCTAATGGAAGCTTAGGTGAAG